GCTGGCTGGTTTGGCTAGCTTCATGCAATTCGAGAGTTTCATTCGAGCATTTCGTCCAGCAAACATCGGTCTCAATGTATGCAGGGATAGGCCGACCAGGTGGTAGTCGTCAGTGATATACAGGACATAGGCTGAAGATGAATAACCAAAAGGTAACCTTATACCTGTATGTATAACATAAAAAACATAAAAACACAAATTTCTCCAGATTTCTAAAGTTTCCGCCCAATCCAAGCAACGCAACTCGCACTAATTCTGATCAGCCGTTCCCCGATACAGCACGTACCGGGCTTGGCAACAAAAGAGTGGAGAAACAGCGCGCTTGAAACGATGTTATAAACAGATGACAACTTATCACATCTATCACGGCGGTAACTCCGCGGCCAACGACATAATATTGACTCGTGTCTTAACGACATGAAGTGGATCCCGGCGCGAGCGCGTGACTAGAACTCTCTTCGCGAGGAAAATTATCCAATTTTATCAGGGTCTCCCGCGAATTTGGACCGAACTCCTGCGAGGCCAAACACCATCTAACGTAAACATCACCCAAGGCGTAGGCCTGAGAGGCTTATAATAGTTCAGGGAGGGTGGTCATGGCCTCAGTGCGCCCCCCCCCCGTCCCTCCCTCTTGGCTACGCCCCTGAGTCAACATTTGTAAGCCGCTACCACTCGAGGATCACTCGGACACATTACCGGTGCAACGATCTTACACGCAGTCCGGACATCAAACGGATAACACTGAGTTGTGGTCCACGCTTGCTCCCTTGCGCGAAGGGCCGGCGCCGTTCGCGTCGGTATAGCAGCGCTGCTTCCATTGATACGGCATGGGCCCGCACGCCAATTATGCACAGGGTTTGTTAAGCAATTTCCCTGAGATTTCAGCGCCTGCGTCAGTTAGCAGTCCGCTGCGTGCGGGGATGCTGTATTCCCGTCGTTCGAGCTCCGTGACGGGTTTTCGACAGCCTGACATTTGCATCATTCGTTTCCTTCACACATGTGTAGGAAAAATGCTTCCCTGCAGTCAAAACATGTCCTTTTGCGCGCACTGTGACCGTTATCGGCATTGGACGGGCGTGGCCTGATATCGTGGACCCCCACAAAGGCTGGACGCATCGCATGCGTAAAATGCACGGCAATCCGTTCAGCTACCTGTGCTGTGGGTCTGGCCAAAGAAGTCCACACAGACAAGCAAATGTACGCTCGGAAAATAGTGACTTAGATACGCCATAAGCCTGACGTTATTCTTTTAACATAAGGAGGTCATGACCCCCACGGCCTCGCAGGAGCACCAGCCTTAAACGAAAGGTCAACAGAACCATAATCGTCACATAATAAAATTTGGACCATGCGACGCTGCGACGATAGCCGGTTGCTGCTAAATTCATCATTCTCAGAAATCTGTACACCTGTAATCTGTGTTCAATTTTCTAGTGACATCCCTTTACAAAGACTACTCAAAAATTTACGGCTACACGCATGAGCACCTCGCTGGAAGATGCGGTGTTGAACATGAGCAAGAACATGCGATGCGCATTGCGGGCTCCCGTGACTTAAAATACTGAATACCCGGATAGGAACCGGTCTCAGTCCAGAGATTTATAGAAAGAAACCCTAACCGTTTTTTATCCGTCCAATATAGCTGTGCCTCCAGTTTCAGGCGGCAGATGCATTTGGGACAGACTCACCTTCACTATTGCACCGCAGCCTTCCTGGTTCACCCTTCGCCATCCCAGATAACCAAAATAAGACAAAGCATTTAACATAAGCACCGCCAACCACTGGAACCGGTACAGGAATGTATTGTTACGCGACTACAATGTGGATTCACATACGGAATTTAACAACACTCGCGTGCGCAATAAACTGCCACACAGAGCGCAGGAAGCTTGTGGCCAACTATTACAAGCAGGTGAATCCTGACGCCTGAAGCGTCGTTTGTTGTGGACGGTTCCGAGTGCAGAAACTTTCCAGAAAACGCGGCGTTAACGCATCGGACGCAGAACACCTGAAGTTTAAAATGCAATACGAATGCATTAAGGAGCGTTTGCGGGTTCAGGGGCGGGTTCGAGTCCCGGGCTCAGGGGCGGGGTCGGGTCCCGGGCTCAGGGGCGGGGTCGAGTCTCGGGTTCAGGGGTGGGTTCGAGTCCCTGAGCGTCATGGCCCTTGAACGCAAATGCGGCCGATGCGGTCATTGACGCTCCACAAAGCCGGCGCCACGATGTGCGTCGCATCCCTTTACAAAATAGTCGTACGAAAGGCAGACATTCTCTCGCACTTCTGCTAAAACCGAGCGACTTTGCCCGGGCCGTCGGCCGGAATAGGGTGAGATGTACGACCCGAAAATTTCCGCATGCACCAGAACAAGGGAATGTCAATTGGAGTAGATCACGTGGAACGTGATTATATCCTTTTCAAAACTCTGTGCCTACTAGGTCACGAATACAAAACAAAATCAGTGACTCAAATCACTCATTCCACGTCATGTGTAGCAGGATCTTCCGAACGAAGCAAATCCGTCATATGAAATTCAAACACTCTCCACGAAAAGTTGCCTGATCTGGCTTGAAGGAGACGTGGCAGTCAACACCAATGGACCATGTGTTGTGGACTCGGCATCTATACCACAACGCTTTTGCGATCACGTAACTACGTCACCTTTTCGTTCCTCAAAATTTCGAACTGATTGGTTTGCTGAAAAAGGCGTCTGTGTACCAGAAACCCGAAGCAACGAAGCCAGGAAACCCCGGTACAATATTTCCTCGCCATCGAATGGGATCAAAGGACCATTTCCTTTCATGCCTTACACGACCTGGCCTGGAACGTTAATGGTACTTGAATGTGTGCGTGGGTCTCAGCCGTCCAAGAGGATCGTTCTCACTGTAAAGGACCGAACTTAAACGCGCTTTAGGGGCGTTTTGATAATACGAGAGTTCAGCTCCTTAGTCAGCGAGGGTGGAAGATCTGGCACAGCGTACGTGACGGCCCACTGCCTCACACAGCTCGCATTTGTGTCCAAGAAATATACTTTCCAGATAAGCCAGGCATCGAAAATCAAAATGCGGCCAGAGGCCCCGGCGTTGACGAAGGCCTAAAAGACCCATGCACATAACTATGTTAAGGAGCCGAATCGACATAGAAGACCTTCTCCAAGGTGCTGAAAACGATCCCACCAGATGAACAATCTCACGAACCATTAATCATGTTTAGATGGGCAATGGCATTTCACTCGATGCGTGGTTTGCTAGTTTTCCCGTGAAATACAGTGTCAATGACTTCAATGGCCAAAATGAGAGGAATATAGTTCAAGTAACAGTGCATACCTCTGACAACAGTAAAGCAACACAACAGGTGTCACCTTCAAATCACATGACCAGAACATCATGCAAACCTTCTGTCTTAAGGATGAAAATGTGTTGAGGCACATATAAACTGCAAGGCATGACAATTATATTATCATCTGCCTAGTTGTGTCCACCAGGAGCACAAAGCATCTAGACCTGTAATGAACAGCAACCTCTGCCATGATTAATCCCTTCCTGGCAAACACAGTGCACAGTTCAAACACATCACTGGTGACTGTGTGTGCTGTTCAACTTGCTCCACACCCACAGGAATACATAGTGTTTATGCCAAGGACAACCATGAGCATGCAGGAGGGTGCCTGGAAGACACACCTGTGCTGCTTCCAGAGGCCTGGGTTTCCCTTGGCAGCCCATGGTGGATAGAAGAAGCATGTCACTGAGGTGTCAGAATGAAAATAGTAGAAGCATGCCACTGAGGTGCCAGAATGAGAGGATTGCATGCATTTGGAGGAGCACACATCAGAGATATGGACCAACCAATAAACAGGAAGCTGGGCTTGTGTTTCTCAGAGTTGGCACATTATCTGGAGAGGTATTATACTGAGTGTCACCTTGTGTAACCTGATTTCAAAAGTACTAAACTGCATTGCTGACAATTTGATATATTTAGGTAAGCAAAATTAATAAACTGAAGTATATCTCAGAAAATTCACCCCAACAAATCCTTGTTGATGGTACTTGACAAACACATTAATGTTAGCAAGGCATTGGTCACATTAATAATGGTCATTCACGTAATAAAACACACTTTTGAAGGTATACTGAATTATCTTATAAAAAGGAAGGTGCAACACTGAAACCTCCCTTCATACAAAATTTAATGATCTGTGTACCTTGGAAAGCCCCCCCCCCCCCCAAGTTCACTGCCATCTGTTTGCACAACAAGAGGAGGCTGTGAACTGCTCCTCTCATTTCAGAACGTCAAACTGGATAACACAAGGCACTGAACTGTGTACCCAATTCAGAATTTTAAATCACTATGAAACAGAGCCTTTACCCCAAACACTGAATTGCATGACCTTTCAATGATGTCTGTTTCACACATAAGGGCATAGCCAGATTTTGCAAGAGGGAGGGGGGGGGGGGGCTACCAGGATCCATAACTAGGGGTTGCCATAACTTGGGATACTATGGGCTTCATTTTTTCAGGGCTAAGCCTCAGCCCCATTCACAGTACATATACAATGTAAGTGGAACTCGGTTTTCCCCATCACCAGATTGTGGAATTCTAATGGTGTAATGCTGAGATGCTGACCAATGCTGAAATGGCAAGCTCAAACCTGTGAGAACCCTTGGCTGAATTCCTGTTAATCTGCATGGCAACTAATCCTCCCTGCTGTGGGTGAAAATCCACTGACAGTAATGCTTGCTGTATAAAACAAGCCAAATGTCAGAATCACAATGTGACACATTTTTGCATGACTGTGGATTCTTTCCAGTATTAGAAGAGTTTATGCCAATCTCCTTGATATATAGCACACATTTACTTCCAACAATATATTTTAGCTTCAGTTTGGCACCTAGATGTTAAAAATGCAAGCATTTGCAGGCATCAATCATATCAGTTACACACAGGTATTTTATTTTTACACATAATGCAGTGTTCAAAGCAGTTCTCATGCATTAAAGCAAAATATGGACTGCTCCAAAATCACTGTCAGATTTGTGATTCAATGATACAGGCATTTACACAGGAAAAAACATTGGACAAAGTTGTGACTGGTTCAATGCGAACTTGAGATTTAAGCAACCAAATCTTCGCATTTAGTGTAAAAAAATGATGTCTAAGTTAGCACAACCACACCAATAAGTCACACAATAATGTTGGACATAACTTTGCTTGAGCCCACTGCTTGTTTTATGGTTGCTCTACTGACTGCTGCACATACTACTCTACATCAAATTGTGAAAAACATGAGAGCTGCCTTCACCTGTGGTGTGATGGGTACACTGCACTGATGCCCCAAACCAAATGGCAAATTTGTTTGCCATTTGAGTTTAATAAGCAATAACAGTGTATGGCTACCTACAAACCTTATTGCAAAATAGGCAGACCCAGGCCCAGTTCCACAAAATGTCTTGTTACACTGGATTGTGCTAATGGTAAATGGATGATGTATTGCAGCATTGCACAGCCATCCTGTGAAACCACAGGGAAGCAAGCATTTAAGCACATGTACTCGGAACACCTCAATGCTTGAATGCTACTATAGTCGGATAACCAGCCCTTAAAGCAGGGCGCAGCGTAACAGAACCATGCAAAAATGTTTGAGATTCAGAGAGGGCAGCAATGCGCTACTAGTAAGCAGTCTTGAACGGGTATTTAAACGCTGTTCATCATAAAATTTCCTCTTTAAATGCAACGATTCCGCCCTACCCTAAGAGTCACGTGGTAAACAGAAACGGTCTCCCCTCAGCATCGAATGGACTGGTCCACAGTTTTGATGGTCAATGTCGCCCAGAACCCACGCCTTCCCTGCACCTACCAGTCCGTAGTCTTCCTCCATTTGAAGACTGCAATCTCCTTGGGCCTTCCGCAGGCAAGTCCCCACGTCTAAACCATAACTTCGAAGGGTATCGCGCCGAACATCACCAAAACTCCGCACTATTTTTCCGCCCCTCGCTCTTCTATCGCCCGGCTTCTGATGCTATTTTCGATTTCGTTCGCAAGATGGCATTAGCAACGGTAGTAGGTTCAAGGTTCTGAAATAAGTCAACGGCCCAACTGGTTGTCGTTTAAACGATTTGAGTAGGCGTTTCACTGAATGCATCTGTTTTTTATCGAATCCATTGATACAAAAGAGCACAGCGAAAAGAGATCATTCAGTTCAAAAAGTTGCCCAGAATTTTTTCGAATATGAACTTCGAAATCGACGGCACGAGCTAATAATGGAATGCTCAGTTTCGCAGTGATTTAAGTGTGAAAGGATTGAAAGGAAACCGGTACACGAAGCAACTCCGTGACAGTAGATCATCAAAGCAGTGACTGCATCGTATCAGCCCGGCCACTCTAAGGTACTGTTGGAGCCTCTCCACGGTGATCTATTGCACTGGAGTGCTCCGTTTTGCAGATGTAATCGTTTGGCCTTGAACTTGGGAGTTTTTACTGGGCCAGAAACCCGCATTGGCCGCCAGGGGGCTGCGGGTTGGGTGCTGCAATCCACCGGAATCTTCCAATCCTTACATTGAAGGACAATGAGCACTGACACTTGTGAAATATCTTCACTGTCTGCCGTCCAAACGGCAAGTTAGCGCAGACCGAAGGCCATGTTCTGCTTGCTAAGCGCGGGGTAGGTACATGTCCTCTGGCCTTGGTTTTGTAGCTACGTTCTCGGAACGCTGCGGCGTGCCCGAGAAAATGCAAGT